GACGTTTTCGACACGGTTTCACGGTGCCTGACAGCTCGATCCCGACGCTGTCAGCACCAGGTTCCGCTGATCTCACCTGCTGGGGATCACCACGCTACCGTCGCTGCTGGACGTCACTGACTGAAGACTCCACGCTCGTAAATATGTACTGCATTTGTAAACCAGTCGCTTGTCTGTATGTGCCTGGTGTATAAGATATGTATTGTATGTATTGTATCGTATTTACTGGTTGGCTTGCGTAACCATCTATGTACTGTCTCTCAGTATTTGCATATCCAACGCCGAACGTTTCTTATACAGTTATTCGAGCTTTCATCGCTACCCTCTTCAACGTTCACTATGTAAGTTATGCTTTGTATGTCGCGTACCTTTCTGTATACGTGTGGTTCAGTTACATGGACCTCTGTTATGTGTGTGAGCCGTTCGGGCCAGTAAAGCTGTTGTAATCTAACCATGTACCTGCGGCGTTCAGAGTTTGTCACCACGGCATACAGCGATGCCTCTAATAATACACGTAGACACGAACATACGATCACGGGTAACACATACGGGTACGAAGGAGCTATGAGTATAACTATACTGTCTGTGGCTTAAGTGCTATTTGCACACGTATCTGTTGTACACGAACCTGGTCAGACTATACGATCACACGTGCCTGTTACATGATATCACGAGCTACACTATATACACTACACTACACTACACTACTCTAAGGAAGGAAGTCTCTCACTTCCCGCTCCCAGGTTCTCAGTTTAGTAGGTGCCGTAGTGGCACCCGTTTTGAGGGTAGCGCCAGGTTGCGCCACTAGATAACAGAAACACAGTATTATGAAAACTACTGCTCGTGCGGCTATTTCACTCTAATCAAACACAATCATACGATACTATACAGATGTCTCCGCGTCGTAACACTCGCGCCGCGTGTCGCGTAATGGAATACAAGTAATGTCGTACCTTAGAGTTGCGGTTCGCGGAGGCGCTCGGCGGGGTGAAAGTAGGTCGGTGGAAGGTAGAGCGGATAAGTAGCGCTGGAATAGGGTGTGGGAGCTAGGCGAAAACTGGACTTGCTACGAAAAGGGTGAGAGCCAAGATCATACCTGGGGAATAACCATGGCAGATCGGCCCTCGAGTCATTAGTGTACTCGGCCGCTACGGGCGTGGTTACACTATATATTTAAGTGTCAGTGTGCAGCGTAAGTATGGCGGCCGGTAGCGTGTGTTGCATATAGCAGATTTGGGCGGAATTTACAAAAAACTGTCGGCAATAATGGGTGAAAGAGAGTATAGAAACATTAAGAATTTGGTAGCAAATAGATTTCGTATTTATTTAGCATTATATTTTATTGAAACGCTTCAAGTGCCTGTGCCTAGACCCTTTGTTCGACTCCCTTCCCCGGCGATCCCCGCGAAATTCCGATTGCTTATATTTTACATCATCACGTCACGGCGTGACGGATACAATAATGTCTCCCAAATCGCATTCCTTTCTCGAAGCTCACCAATCGCTTCTCTGTTTACCTGCGTCATACCACACGTGATTCTTCCCGAATGGACACTTCCCGCCGCCCCTCTCTGTTGACACGCCCCCCCTTTTCTTTCCCCGTAAATGGAAGTAAGGCCCCCCTCCCGGTCGCGGGCGCGCGCGGTGGTAAATATATCACCGATATGATATACAATCCCAACCCGCCGCACCGCAGGCGCGCGCCCCGCCACGCGGTATTTTCTCCCCACCGCCGCGTGCTCGCGGGGGCGCGCGCAAGGCCGCGGTGGGTAATAAGTTACCGGCCCGCGCCCGCAATACCACACCCGCCCTTGCTGCGGCGCGCGTTACCGCGCCGCTTATCCAACCGCCGCGCGGGCGGCACCCCCCGGCGCGATCGCGGGGCCCGCCGCGCCAGCGAGGGTGTAATACGCGTGTCATTGACTTTGCTGCGGGCGGCTCCTATGTTATCCTTCGCCGCCTCATGGCCCCCGGCTTTGTTTACACTATTACTTATACATACCTAACATACCTACATGTACTTATAATACTGTAACAAACCATTATCACTTTTCAAGAAAACCCTCCATAAAAACAAATCCCCACACGATTTTAATATACGATTTAGTCCCCTGTTAAAATGTCGTAAAGCCTAATTCCAATATTTATATCCATAGATATTACAGAACACATGCGTTTGGTCAATATCTAAATTGGTATATTCGTAAATTTCCAGAATGAACAGTCGGCCGCTAGCTGGTGGGCAAATATGTCAGGTAAATGGGCATTTTTTAAAATTAACGATCACGCTGGCCACTTCCGATGTGTATTAAATACATCCCAAGTTAAAATTATTATATTTATATCAATGTTAATATAATTATGTTATATTTATAAATATGATACTAGCTGGGGTTTACACCCGGCGTTGCCATTCCTCAAGGGGAAAAAATAATAGGGAAAACAACTTTGTGGGAGAAAATTCTGACCCTATTAATTACTAATTCTAAAAGATATATATATAGATATAATATATATATATATATATATATATATATATATATAATTTGACTCATAAGAGCGAAACAAAATATGAAAGGGTAAACAATATTGTGGCAAAACAGTTTGAACAATTCTATGATTCTATGCTGCCAAAGCTTCTGGGTAGTGGGTACACAACATTATAGTGGTATTTCCTTCCGGGGCAAGAATGAAGAGGTTTTGTGGGATCCGACCTTTAAGCGCCCGAAGTAAAGCTGACCATGGGAGCAGCATGGCGATGTTAGATATAGGCCAGCGATATTAAGGAATATGGAATATCCATGAAGTTCCCAGAAAGTGTCATTGCGCAATATGGAATGTACAGGATGTTTTTAGAATGTTCTATTGCACAGTAAGATATGATCAGGAGGCTTCTAGAAATTTCCATTGTGTAATAATGAAAAGTGACCTCTAGCAACCTTGCATAACCCCGAAGGTCCGATTTTATCGCATCAGCCCAACCTTTAATTGTGTGGTCGAGGAACATTTATGTACCATAATAAAGCCCGTATCTTGCTTCGTTTGGCCAAAAATTGAAATGTTGTCCTTCTGCGACCTCATATGACCTTCAGTGGCCACGGGGATCGGATCTGACCTCATCCGCCTACACATTTGTGGGGATCAATGAGGCCTTTTGTACTTCATAACGAACTCTTTATCTGGTTTCGTTTATTATTTACCTTATATTACCTTCATTATATATATATATATATATATATATATGATATTAGTGTTATATTGTTATACATTAACTATATATTATATGCGAATGGTACTGTGTAAACTCAGGCTCACATTCGTTACGACACCAATCACTGTATTTCAATGCATGCATGTATGTTTCGTATTTCAGCTGGAATAGTCTCTAGCTGTGCTATCAGCCTATCACCATAGGTAAACACGTCAAGTCTCGACGAAGGTGAAAGTAGGTGAACTATGCCACGGCAGATAACAACACATAACAAGACGGTGTATCATGGCGCAAATTCGCAAATATAGGTAGGTTTGTGTATAAGCGGCATATCTGAAATCATCAAGTGCATGGTTATTCCGGACCACCTGCAAGTGGGCAGTAAAGCCGTTACCACCAGCAACAACAGATTCCGTTGCAACGCCAGCACGGTACCATCGTATATATCTGCAATGCTACGTGTTGGATGGCTGCTAGGAATCACGCTTGCTATTTTGCTGCCAGCGGGTAAGTGTTTGGTGTCACATATCTGACATATCTGTTGCGATATAGGATGAAACTAATATGAAATGATATAGGGTTACCTATGAAAGGGTACATACTGTTAAGTGATCCACGCATATATAAAGGCTATAATTAAATGTTGATTAGTATGTAAAAGCTGTGATATTATATGATGAGCTATTAGAGGGTGAGCTATTGAAGCGTGAACTATTAAAGGCAAATCTACTGAATGGTATCATATAAGTTTACAAGTGCAAAATAGGAATGTAGGCCTACTATCGCTCATAGGGTCTATGTCCCCCAGGGTACTGCCGGAACGTACCCTGGGTACGGTCCGGTATACCGGAACGTACCCTGGTCACTATTTGATATGGTTAGGGTTAGGATTAGGGTTAGGGTTAGGATTAGGGTTAGGGTTCGGGTTCGGGTTAGGGAGTAGGCGTAGGCGACTCCCTAGACTCGTTAGTGGAGTAGGCGAGGTACGGTTCGGCATATTAGATAGTACCAGGATAGGCCTATGTTCCGGTATACCGGACCGTACCCAGGGTACGTTCCGGCAGTACCCCGGGGGACATAGACCCTCTCGGCCCTACTATCACGAGAGCCTCGTTACAGTGCGCAGAGATATGAAATGTTGGTGAATATTGCTGAGCACAATTTTTCCGAGGGATTCATATACTGTATACGCTGTATATTTCGCGGTGGTTTAATTTTCGCGAATTTTGCGAATGCGTACCCGACCGCGAAAATAACAGCACGCGAATAATTCATACCGAATAATACCGAATAATTCACCAACCGCGAAATTAACCACTAGCGAAATTGTCCTTAAAGTCTGAATTCGCGAAAATGTCTCTACGCGAAAAATATGGCGTATACAGTAGTTCTAACGTATATTAACTAGCCGACGTCGGCACGTGTGTGTATATTACAGTCACGGGTACGGGCGGAGAATGCGCGCCATGTAGCAGCGTCATTAGCGATTGTTGTCAGCAGCAACATGAACGCTGTGAAGCAGACAAGTTTGGCAACAAGCAGTGCAGCTGTCTATACGGCTACATGCGCCCCCCATCACAGACATCCAGCGACGCATGCTTACGTAAGTGTATCATCGTGAAAGTTAACTCGGTTACGTGTGATAGAATAGAAATGCATCGAGTGGATGGTCAGCCTTTGTGATTATGCGCGTGAATATAATTATCTGTTATATAGTAAAATTTATATATAGTAAACCCACTGAGTGAAGTTATAAATAAAATGGGTCGAGATAGTCGAACAAAGTAACTGAGCCATTGCTTGCCTAACAATGCAACAATTGGGGCGCATTTTTAGGCAAACAATGGCTCAGTTACTTTGTTTTTTCACGTGTGAGTTCATTCATTCACATGTGAGTTCATTGTGAGTTCATTCACACGTGCGTAAGAAAATCTCACTGTTAATTGCACTGTGATATATGTCAATCACGTTGTGTCATGTGCGAAATCTCCGATAAGCGTAATAACTGGTTATGTGGATTTCCGATATACGTCGCATCTGCATGTTAAACACGCTCATAATTCTTTGGGTTTTATTTTACCTGATTCAAAATAATCCGTAATAACTACGTGAAACAAAAGAAATACCGACGCAGCGTTCGATATTTTGCCCGAACATAATTTTCACGGACAAATTAAATTCAAAATAAGCATATCAAATATGTGCGCATGATAAGATATGCGAGATATACTAGTAATGATCTCCTTTACTTATATCAAATAGTATACATGCCTGAACTAAACTGAAAATGTACGTCTGATTAATACGCGCGCGCGCGCGTGTGTGTGTGTTGGGAGGGGGGGGGGGGGTCTCACAGAACATATTATAAATTGTAATTGTTCCTATAATAGAGTTCCTAATATAATATAATATAATATAATATATAATATATATATATATATAATATAATATAATATAAACCTAGTACATAATTGTTCCTATATATATAACGAGAACGCAGCGCGCTACAGCTGACAACCTGTTTGCCTTGTCTACCGAAACCGGATTGGTTTTTAACTTCAGCTGATTTAATTTGCAAGCAATTCGATCAGTTCCGTTTTACGAACAAAGATCATTAGCTTATTCAGAAACAACGGTTTCACATTTCAGCTGTCACCTCTCGATGGACAGAACTATACTTTGACTTAGAATGGAATGACAACTACAAAGTGCCTGGCTCTCCCGAACTCCTAAATTTGGAGGCTTCACTCATTATATTGGTAAGTGGGCTTTACTGAGACAGGTACGAGATGAGAGCTATTTATTACACTATACCTTAATTCTTAGAATCCTTCCATGCAAATTCTCGATATTAGTGAATGAATGCTCGCGGAAAACTAACCGGATACAATCCGGAACAACAGTGAACCTGATCCAAATAAAATATTAATGATCCGAATAATATGTCCTTTCTATAGGTGGAGAGAGTGATGAATCAGTCTGAGGCCATGCACAATGAGTTTGCTCACATTCATTTCATGGCTGCACTGCCGCGCTACGTACACCATCTGAACGTGACCATGAACAGCACCGACGGAGCGGTGACTGACGGAATCCAAGCGGACATGTTGCTCAGCTATCTGTTGGAGAACTTCACAGGGTTCGCCGTCGGTGACATGGAGTCGGTGTTAGACACCGGGCTGCGGTCTACCACGGCTTACACAGGGTCCGTGCTCATCACTGCACCCGATCAATTTAACGATGCGATTGTAGAAGGTAGGTAGAAGAAGGTAGGAAGGTAGGACCTGCGGCACGACGTAGTAGTGTGTCGGCATCCAGCATCGGAGGGAGACGGTCATTTATGGATAGGTGTGGGAGTCGTAAGATCAGAGAGCACGTGAATGCGGGTGATAAAGTGTGGTTGCCGAGTAGGGTCAAAACACTGCTTGGCATGGCGTTTGCGTAACTATTCGGGTTATGGATCAGGTTAAGGTTAGAATTAGGTATGATGTTAGGTGAAGAAAGCCATAATGCTCACCCTAACTAATCCTACGTCCAACCCGAATCTCAACCCCAACAACATGATGCGCGATTTATTGTGCTTCAATTTCTACGCCACTGCCCTAACATAAAATTATCACGCGTGTTATCCAAATGTGAGCGCGTGGGATGGAGCGACACCAGACTAGTTATTACGATTACAAACAAATATTCTGTTGGAAAAATGTGTCCATTTACATGTTAGCAGAGGCAGGTTTTAAGGCAGTAAGGGGTTGGTAAGGAGTTATATATTCAGGCGCTTTTCGTGTTTTCCGCTCGTATTAGCGTGATGTAACGATAGGTTTCATGTTGCTGCTGCAATTCAGAATTGAGCATGTGCGACCAGCGTTACCCAACCCTAAACTACTGCTGGGAAAACGAAGACGTAGCCGCCTGCACACCTGACGAGAGCAACCTGTGGTTCACCTGCGCGTGTCCGCCTGGGTACACGGACGTCAGCGTGGCACCGGATGTTGATCCTGGAGAGTTCTGTGAGGGGCCGATCGTCACGCCACCAGTGCCGACGTGCAGCGACGACTACTGCCTCAATGCTGGCACCTGTCTTGAAATTAATGACAATGTGGAGTGCAGGTATAAACATATACACAACCACGTCTTCGTGTGATTTTCGTCATAATTTTATATGAATTTATTCCAAACGCATTTACTGCTCAACGAATTGATATCATACGCAGTATCAAGACCATGTAAGCCCGTCTAAACCTAGGGATTTAGGCGCTCTTGATATTATACACTCACATAATATATATATATATATATATATATATATATATATATATAATTATATACAAGAGCGAATAATACCTAGTGTACAACGGAAAAACGGGAAAATAGTGCTATTTTACGACAACATTATTCTACGTTGCCTGCGAGTCTAGAATAATTTTATGGTATTGCATTAAGCAGAATTCTTTGCTCTCTAAAACAAGACAAACCGCTTATCAATACGATACTCCGAGGCTGAGATATTGACTCCAAAACCTCCCCTCCCACATGCCTCACGCCGCCTCGCATCCCGGTTATTCAGCTACCTCAACGCCCCTAAGCATTTTGGCTATCGGTTTCCGTCACCGCTTGGAGCGCTGATAATTGATGTCACATGCCCAAATTTGGTACTTTTACTACACCATATAGTAACTGAGCTGCGTTGTAAAGACTTAATTTAGAAAACATTGCCGGCTCCATCATGACAGGCATTAGCCGTGCTAGGAAAGATAATGGGAGATAAGGGCATAGGCGATGCCCCCGAAAGTCACCTATGATAACCGAAACGCCGTTCATTCATAAAGTTATCGCGGAAAAACCGAACTTTCACGAAGCAATGCTTAGGGGCGTTGAGGTAGCTGAATAACCGGGATGCGAGGCGGCGTGAGGCATGTGGGAGGGGAGGTTTAGGAGCCAATATCTCAGCCTAGGAGTATCGTATTGACAAGCGGTTGGTCTTGTTTTAGAGATCAAAGAATTCTGCTTAATGCAATACCATAAAATTATTCTAGACTCGCAGGCAAAGTAGAATGATGTTGTCGTGAAATAGCACTATTTTCCCGTTTTTCCGTTGTACACTCTAGGTATTATTAGCTCTTGATATATAATATATATACTACGTGGACTTACTTTCTAGTTGCATGACCTGGTATAGCGGCTCAAGATGTCAAACAGACCTTACAGGTAAAGTCAGTTGGTGAAAACCAACTATTTTTTGTTTACTTTCTGTCAGGACAATACCTTTCTGAATGATCCCGAATATTTGTTTGCTTGCGCTACTACGCTTGAATACGTTTACAAGACTGCAAATAACGAGTTTTATGTAACAATTTAATATACGAATTAAATAATATTAATGTTTATAATGGTGCACACTGTCCCCACTGGTATTATATATATATATATAATATAATTGTAAAACATTTTATATATATACATATAATGAATATAAATAAATAAAAATAAATATGTGTATATCCACATATAATAGTTTGTTTCATTCTTGTTACAGTGATCGTTATGATTATCGGAGGTGTCAGCCTCATCATCTTGCTCAGTGCCATTGCCGTCATCTTATGCGTGAGCAGGGAGACACCCATTCGAGTAACCACGAAGGGAGATAACTGGGGTAGCAATGAGGGACAGGACACCAGCTGGCTCAATCCTATGTGATGCAAAAGTACGTTTCACTCAAGTAACCAGCTTCTATGATCACGTTCACAAATCGCGTGCACGGGGCTTGTATAGCGATCGAGACTGTATAGTCCCCCATCGCAGACAATCTTACAACGTAGTTGGCTGTGTCTACGTATTTACCGTGGCCGCAATCATCACCGCTGTCAATACCGGGCCATTTACTCCGTAGTAAAGCTCACTCATATATATTGACAAAATATTTTTATTACCTATATACGATCCTATTGTAGCTTAGATGTGCGCCATATCTTTATCCCAAATTACCATGTAACGAACAATTGAGGTTCGCTGCAGAAGGGAACAAATATGGATGTGGGCTCCAATTGCATATCAATATAACTTAATAAACACGTGTATTTATGAGGATTACAATACCCGTTATCAAACCCAAGTCACCGTTGAATGCGTGTTCTTGGCAGAATGCCATCAAATTGATTATAACAGAAAAGTAAATGAAATGATCACATAAGTCACAATTTTAAATTTTTCCTTGACTGTTTTCGCATTTCATTCTATTTTAAATATAGGAATTTGACTTTAGTATAATGTTAGTAGTAAATTTAGTCTGTTGCTTCCGTAAATGTATGGTAAAAATATAAAGATAGAGAATTCCCGATGTAACATAACAGATTGGTTAGCACACTAAGCTGCCAATCTTCAGGCCAATGGAATGTAGCTTATATTACAATTTATAAAAGGGGAATTAAATGAAATTATTACAATCTTTAATTAAGAAATGTTGAGTGGCGCGATAGAATGCACGCTGGGCATTCCCTAGAACGAGTTCGTAAATGTAAATGAGCAAGTAAGGTAAAGTGTAAGAGGAGTAAGTGTAAATAATGCTGTAGTTTTCGTGGTTCTACGTAATTATATATCCTGTGCCGCAGTAGTTGAATAAACAAGTTGACACGCGCATTAGGCTGCGGAGATGCCATATGAACAATGAACGAACCGGACCTTTGGCAAGCCAACACTGCAGTAGGCCTACACGGGCCTAAAAATTTTGCGTCAGATTAGATGTTTGTAACGTTTCAGAAGCCGACAAGGGTGATGTCCAGATCGCATTCAGGTTTCGATAGACGATAACGTTTCAGATAACGAAGACCCATGCTGATTCATTTCTTCCTTTAAAACCATCGCCGGATTGGGCGGGACATGCATAGAGGCAAACATCACCCCTCAAAACTCCCGCGGAGCAGTAATTCGCCATCGGCTGTACAATAACGCAATGATTGATCGATTCTATGATCAATCAATTGATGATTAATTATTGTTCTGTTGGCGATGCAAAGATGTTGACAGTTGTCTACAAAAAGTATATAAAATCTTTATATAGATCATATTTCACTCATTTGTAGACGATCAATCATTGGACGTTATCAAAAGACGTTTCTAGCAGGCAACACAACAGTTTATTTGGTGTTTCTTACTACACGCGAGTGCGCATACAAAGATTGTTGCTGTTCGAATTAGTCAGCAAAACAGTCTGCACCTTGCGCTACAGTTCAGACACAGCACACTGGTCGCTGCAGTTCTACAAACATCTCTTGCTATTTAACATCCGTCACCAAATCCTTAATCTGTGATAACACGTATGATTGTAATACGAGAGTGAAATGAACATTGATGACTTGTCGATTAAAACACAATGCCGTGCCACCCCATATCTGTATTACCCCTCAAGCAAACATAGGCGTTCCACAATCACCGCGCTATTTATTAAAATTTGATACACTGTGACGCAGGAGCAGATTAAACAACTGAACACCTTATCTGTAAGATACCACGCCCATTTATGGCTGATTTACATATGATCAGGAGCTCATAAAAGGAATTCCTTTTATAAGCTCCTGATATGATGTACATTATTACGAGCGAATGAACGATGGTTCCAATTTCTGTGGCTTAAATACTCATTAAAGAAATAATAATGACATTTCTTTGTGATTTTGCATTGGCAACATTTCAGGTGGAACCATTTTCTGTCCGTTGGCTTCGAATTCACTTGTCATTGTCGCAACGGATGAGGCGTAAGGTCTTTACAACATACGTGCACATTGACACTATCTACATACATGACAATTTACGTATCTAGTTAAGTAAATATTAACTCGTTTTTTTCAAGATTTGATGTGCAATATTATGACCTATCTTCTTATAGTAATGATATAAGTAGAAATACAGACAAATTCGATTTCAACTGTGCCGCAGCATGTTACTACTGCTTTCAGTAGATCAAATCCAAGAGAGCTCACGAGATTATTGAGCGTTCTTGCATTTTATAACACTGGCGAGTACCTTAACTTCCGTCTCTCTTTGCTACATTCCCAAATAAAGGGTATTACACGCGTGGTCTACACAAGTAGAACGCTCAGTTGCACTGGTATTGAACACTCAATGAATATTGCAAGGCTGTGTCAGCTGGTAGAACCACAATGACTTGAGCAAAACAAAGATTCCCATGACGAATGCACCTGAACAGCTAGTGTGTTATGGGATTGATGGATTAACTAACGTCTAAGCCAAGTACCCTGTTATCATTTAACGTAACACTTAGTATAGTTAGGCATAGAGCTCCGAAGTGATGACGTCACGGTGGCATGACAACGAACCCACTGGTTCTAAACAATCATATATATCATATATTCGTGACGTAATCACTTTAAAGTGATTACGTCACGAATTTCTAGCACCATCAAGTAGTATATTTGTGTGTTATTTGTACAAAATATAATGTATGAAAATACAATTAGTGTTTCTGTTTACTTTTCATGCTTATATACCTTCTTTATATGCCCTAATTTTGCCGGTGAAAAACGGAGAGACGCCAGTATCTGAACAGTACTGGGGGAATAGTGTTAGACAACAGAAATTACCAAATTGTCTAGATTTTTGCAAATTTAACCAACGTAAAAACATTTTTATCAGGTGAGAGTTTGAGAATATATTTAGTAACGTTAGTTCTTACTTTTAATGTAAAAAAATGGGAATTTTTTTTTTACAAATTTTACCATGGAAAATTCGTGACGTAGTCAATTTAACTGCGTGAAAATGGTGTCGTGTTTTGTACGCGATTATAACCATCATTCTGAGAGTCATTATTGCAGTTTTTATAGATTTCCAAAGGATGGAAGTGAAAAGCAACAACAACAACAACAACAACAACAAAATTTAGTACCGAAGTGTGACGTCACGGTGGCATGACAACGAACCCACTGGTTCTAAACAACCCACTGGCTCCATAACATTAACTGTGTGAAAATGTTGTGCGTACGTAAAACACGAGTGTGTGCGCTGCAGACAGCGGTAAAGCATCGGTAGCAAGTCGATCTTACAATATTATTATTATTATTTTTATTTTTTTTTCGTTGCTTTTCACTTCCATCCTTTGGAAATCTATAAAAACTGCAATAATGACTCTCAGAATGATGGTTACAATCGGGTACAAAACACGACACCATTTTCACGCAGTTAATGTTACCAGAGCATATGATTGTTTAGAACCAGTGGGTTCGTTGTCATGCCACCGTAACGTCATCACTTCGGAGCTCTGTTGGCATTGCCATCTATCTGGTTAACTATAAATCTTATAGAATGTCTAAATACCCTGAACAAACAACTCTATTCTACATTACATTGTAAACATCTATACATCTTGTATAGCTAGATATACATATCCACAAAGAGATATCTAAAAGTATCTAATCCGTAAATTGAAAAAGTATAATTTTAACATTTTAAGATCACACAAGTAAAAATTAAATTTAATAACACTTTGAATACCCACATTAATGAGCTCGTTTAATTTAAATAAACTTACTATAAATTATCACTTCGAGTTTAATACAGGTTTATTCTTTGGTCACAAAAATGAGAAAGTCAATATTATACAAAATATCAAATGAATAAATGCTTTTATATTAGCTCAAACCTCAATATTTACATCTCCTTGTAACGATGATGTTATTGATAAACAAATTCCTATACACTACCCTCATGCCAGGTTCATGCGATCACGATAATTAAATGCAAGCACACTGACATGCAGAACAATGACATGTAACACAATGTGATAGTACATGAAATATGACAACATATAACACAATGGTATGCAACATACGATAAATAACATGCTGCTACAACAGATGACATGACCACACACAATGTTACGGCACGCAAAAATGACTGAGAGAGTGGGTCCATAACAGACGCAGACCTTGCTATAACATGCTGACTGGCATTCATGATGAGTCACCTCATAAAGTATGAAACCGTAAATATGGAATATATAGATCTTCGATAGCAAAAGACAGAACATTTGTACTCACTTACAAGATACCGAGAAGGTACACATTTACATAGACGATACAGAATGTCCCTCGGAGCATCATAACCTTACATGAACTGAGCTCACTTCAATCTATGCCATACCGAATCCCTCACTTCCCTCATTTATGGCGAGCAGTAGAGCTCTCTGAAAGTCCTCCAAGGAGTTATAGTCTGGTAGGCAGAGTTGATTGAAACTGCAAATATTTCAAGCCGGTAAACACAAGGTAGACTTCATGGGAAAATAAACACGTTTATCAGTCAGTACTCACTGTAAGTTATATGGTAACAACCGAATGCACACTGTTAGAATGAGGATTTGCTCACATAGAAGCACTAGCTTGTCTGTAATAGAATGGATTCTATTATGACACAAGAACTGATTAACTTAAAGTAATAATTTAAATATTATAGTTAGTTTTTAAATATTATATATTAAAAAATTGTAAGTTTATTTTACCATATCAGAATCATAAAATTAGGAAATCTTATTAAAATATAATTGTAGAAAAATACTATTTGTAAATAAGTATAATTAATGGCCCATAATTCGAATGTATTACCAAGTATGAGCTGTAGGCAGTGTGCCAAACGCAGGCGTGGCACTGATTTGGAATTTTGGGATAAGTTCAGAAAATCCACCAGGAGGCAGTTGTGAGCAGCCTGTAGTGAACTGTAGTAACCGGGCCATCTCTTCCTCTGTGAAGCTAGCAACTAACGTCCAGAACCAGTCCAGCACCTAGGAAACAACATGAAATTTCACTAGAGTTATAAAGAGAATATACATATACAGAGAATCCATGAATAAAACACAAAAAACCATGTCATAGCTTTAGTTACCATATGAAATTAGCATAGCTTAATTTCATCCCTTTACTGACATAGCTTGGACAATATATCACTAATAATTCGTTTCAACTTGTTGAATAAAAAGGAGCCACTTCTCTCGCCGCTGTTTCAAGGTAGAATTAATTCACACACCTAAGTCCAATTCCGTTACTTTAAGTCTACAATGGTATCTTGATTTAAATGACTTTTTTCTCTGCTTCAAAAAAGCTTGTGCATTTCTACCACTTAATATATAAACAGGGGTAGAAATTAACTTTTGAACAAGGGAGTCCGGCGAGTCCTGCCCTCAAAAAGAGGGAGTCCGCAGCAAAATGAGGGAGTCCGCAGTCTGAAGTTCAAAACTAAAGATATTAACAATAACGCGTGTGCTTATTTTGAATATTCATGCAGTTGTACGGCTGCCAAATTGTCTTTGGACAATTGCTGAAAAAATACGGCAATTCCGCGAGGCCATGCTCTGGAACGAAGTAGTTAGTATAGCAGAATTTTCAGGGAGTCACACAGACTCCTGCATGTGTAAAATCAGGGAGTCCGACAGAATATCAGGGCGTACACTAATATCTGATTTATAGTAGGTAGATTGCAAATCTGACATTTATGAAACTAGAGCCATATATCACCAGATATAAATGTTAGCAGTGAAGATTTTGCACTTGTGAAGATTACGTCCGATAATACATAACATTTAAGTTTTTAGCACCAAAAAAAAACTAGTATTGAGGAATATGAAACAGGGGAAACAAGGTTCTACTCGAGTATGAATTAGATTAAAGAAAAAAAGCAATACCACAGCTTAGAATGTGGAGGAAAATAAATTTTGTCATGCTAGAAATGCTGATCAGGGCTGCCAAGTTCATAGTACATGACACAAATGGACAGGAGTATATATACCATAGTATAGCTACGTTCACCATTACAGGACTAGAATAATGCAGCAAATGACAGTGGACGAAATGTTATTTCTGCATTGCTTACCTTCTTGTGTTCGTATGAAGAGCCATTAACGATGTGATGCTGCTTGAACTCTGAGATGCTGAAGTTACCAGTTCCACACATCAGTAGCTGTGATCACATGCACACATACACTAGTGTTAGTCGTGTGGCGATGGCATTACCTAACAACAATTGCTGAAATTTTTTAAATTTTTTTTTTAAATCTTGCATATATTTGAATTATCGAATAACATTGACAACAAAATGTGGCACTAAAATGATCTCCATATTTACAAAAACTGAGGACTTAATTTTGTACTCTGGGATATTAATTAGTGTTAGTATAAAGTCAGGGGTATGAAAGGCTTAGGACTAGACAAAGGCTTGATTCCGGTCTGAGTTATAAATGCATTCCCCTAGTAACCAAAGAATCATGGAGCCCTTCAGGCAGAGTGGCCGCTATGAATGATGTGATGACAGTTTCACTTCCGCTAGGTGGCGCTGCAGTGCTGTCTTCCCAGGCTTCTCACCTCGAGCTCATTCTCATCGAAGATGCTGAGCAGATTGTCCGGGATGAGGTCATTGAGTCCTTTCAGGAAGTATTCGACCTCCTGCTGGACATCTGTAGCCAGTCTATACTGTGCGAGACTGTTGAGATAGCGCAATTTGTTCTGGTTTGTCACTCGTATCTTGATACCGCCTGGCACCAACTCTATGACCTGCAGTAGCAGCAGCACATCAACCAGGTTAGTGTGTGAGTAGTAGCCAGTGTTGTAGTCGAGTCCGCACCCCCCGAGTCCGAGTCCGAGTCCGAGTCCGCACCCCCCGAGTCCGAGTCCGAGTCCGCGCCACCCGAGTCCGAGTCCACACCACCCGAGTCCGAGTCCGAGTCCGAGTCCAGTTTTGATAAAAAAAAAGGGGGGCACAGACCGACAAGGCCACTCACTTCTATGTATGTGTTTGTTCAAAAATGGGGGGGTGTTTCCTGTCCCCTGGATCTGTCACTTGTTTGCATAAAATAGAAAGTACCATAAAACTTGCATAAGTCGACACTTTTGGGACCAGCATATTTGTGTCGACTTAGGAAAATAACGACTTACGCGTAAGTCATCATTTTGTCGATTTATACAATGTATGTAATGCGCGTACACACTGTATTAGTTGCCTTGCGATTGCTGCGATGAGTAATCATAAACAAGCAAAGTTTGATGAACAAAGTTTAATTAACAAACGAAAAATGCGAATGAAGTCATGCATACAGTCATGTATTTTTGTACTATGTAATATGTATAAATGATTATAATGCATAGTGCATAACAACTCTCAGCAACATCTGAACAGATCTCTCCTTGAGTAAATTACTCCTTACAGTACATGCTCGTTACATTTGAGAAACATCAAGACTATGCGGCGGATACATCAAGGCGGATACCAGTCTACCCTTCGGCAAAAACAACGTAGCTTGCTGCCAGCCGCAGTAGACGATTGATTAACCGCGCGCCTGTGTACATTATTATGCCCGTGGTTGCGAATGATGCGCGTGAACTCGGCCCACGCGCGATTTAAAGCGCGACAAACAGCATCTATAACTACTATGTATGTAGTGGCCTCGAGCCGGTCTCGACCCGAGTCCTCGAGTCCAGAGGGCTCGAGTCCGAGTCCGAGTCCAAGTCATTGCACTCCGAGGCCGAGACCGAGGCCGAGACCAAGGAAAACGGTCTCGAGACCGGTCTCGAGGCCAAGACCAGTCTCGAGACCTACAACACTGGTGAGTACACTTAAAGTTTAACTTTAACAATATGGTATATGCAAGTGGGGTTGATAAGATATGATCAGGCATAGATGATGACAAATCAGGGGCGATTTGTCATCATCTGCCCCTGCTATGATGAATAAACAAGCTCATCTAATATATGCATCACATAAATGTATAGATGTTTTTTTACAATGGATACATCTGTGCAGGGTTTGAAATACAAAACTCTCTGTAAGTGAAAGTTTTTGTCCTAAGTTGAAATGACTGGAAACTCATCTCACCAGTAGATGGCACATTTTGCTACTGTCAACGGGAACATCCCTTCATTAATTCCTGCCTGCCCTGTATATCCCTGAATGTTATGCATGTATTCTCTACATGCCCCATCTATGCACACCACACCGCAGGCTGAACTGCAAATGGGAATGCCCCCCTTTAATTCCAACTCGCATTCACCTACCTTTTCTAGCTTGCCGTTATCATTGTACTGTTCCTCAGCAAAGTAGAGCTCCAGGTCTTCCACACTGTTCTCCTCTATGTAACGAATCTTAGCAACATAGAAATCTGGATCGTCCTGCTCAAAGTACTGCACCAACAACTACCAGAATTAGTTTAGGAAAATAAGAAATAAATGGCACACCTATAATTAAAAAAAATGCCATAATATATAAACATTTCCGTCACGACTGTCAAAATGTTTACAAATCGGTAAAATTATTAGTAAAACGTAGGTAAATAGTATAGTAATGGTCATCACCGTAATAAACCACACCTGCACTCACTTCATGGAAAACGTCAAATTTACAGTCATTGGTATGAAAATTAATTACTCCGATCTGATTGCGCCTAGGTACATGATAATGACCACAGTATAATCATCCTAATCTGGTATATGATCAGTCACCCTACCTTGTAGTGAACACGTAGTCCAATCAGCTGTGCAAGGAATGATCGGGTGAATCTCGCTTTCACTAGCTGCCTGTAGCCGCCCCCTAGTGACGACTCGTACAAACATTTACCAATAAGCTTGCCGGCGAATTCATAGTATTTTAGTTTTAATGTCACCTGTCTGCGTGGGTTAGGGTGAACCTAAAATAAGCCAGATGCACGATTCAGATGAAATCTAAACAAACACTTTACATATTAGATCTCAAACGAGTTATGAGGCACGCACACGAATATTACATGTAACAATTAATAACAATATAACAATCTAATATGAATACACACATGTTGTACAACTGCTGCTGGTACTTACTAAGCCTTGATTGTCATTCTTGAAACGAGTGAACAGTTGATTTTGTGGATCAAATAGTGCAGTGCACATTAACTCAAACCACTCCCTGCGCAGTCCTCCCCAGTCCAGACCTATGCAAAATGGAATGTAGAATAAAATCCTCCTTCATTGCAAGAATGTTAGACACTATGTGTGGGTAAATATTGAATATATATCTCTATTGGTTAATGATGGGTAGTTCTACGTACCTTCCTCGCCGATGAACGTCAGTTCAAATAGTCTACACCAATCAGCTGTTGAAAAACTCTTACATGCTTTCATCGACTGAAACACAAAACATTACTATAAGGCTATAGACGCTTTCACTGAAATCCAAGCTATATTCAAGTGCTCAACCATGCCTACCAATATCTTACTGGTTACCCGTCTACACAGATGAATCTATGATCAGTCATGCTTACATAAAAACTCCCTGCTTTTCAAAGAAAATCAAAAAGAGAGAAACAGAAAGTGAAGAATAAAACTCCAATGTATTTAGGCCAGATGGATGGGTTAACATTTGCAAAAGTGGGCTCTGCCTATTAAGATCAAAATCAAGTTTTCAAAGTGAGATAAACCGATTTATACAAAGACAACTGAACTTCCTATTGATTTACGATTACGTCAACTAATGCACTGCAATGAAGAAGTCTATCACAGACAGCAGGCGGCTGCGACAGTGATACTGCAAACGAACGTATAAACGACTAGCTGCGGGTACCCGCTGCGCTGGGTAAAATCGTGCTACTAATTCATACTACTAATAATTGGACACAATAGGAACATTGGGTAAAAATCGACAATATAACATTGCACACAATATCAATATTTACAAATAAGTGTAATAAGATAATAAGCATGGGGGAAAACTGTTACGTATGACATTTATATGACAGCAGAACCCAACTTAGAACCCGTGGATCATAATAGTAATATGGTGTAAATGACAAAAAGTTATTATAACAGCATGTACGAATGGGTTGCACTTTTCATTT